ACAAAAAATCTATGTATTATAATTCTCTTCAACTGTTTTCTTTCTCTTTCCGTTTGTCTCGAGATTAAATTGTTATTTTCCTATTTAAAAAGAATTTTAATTTTTTGGCACGAATCATTTTTTTTTCTTACACCATTAAATTTATATATAAAAAAATTATATTGTCTATTTTATACCTATAAAAACTATTGTTGAAGAACTTTTTTATATTTCATTAATATAATTATGCATTCAATTTTTTTTATACTCTCAACTGTATACTTAAGTTAGGCGATTTTTTTCCTGAAAAATGTATTTAAAATAATTATTTCAAAAATACAATCTCAATACAAAAAAAAAAAAAAGGTTGAATTAAGTCTTATTTTATATTATAACTGTTCTATAGACATTTAAAAATAAACTTTTTAAATAGTTTCTGAAAAAAATCCATTTAGTTTGCACAAAATAATTTCAGATTATTTATGCATGGATCCAAGTTAGATTTTTAAAGAAATTAATTTTATTTAAAAAAAAAAAAATGATTTATATAGTTAAATACAGTTTTTATAGTTTATATTTATTAAAATTTTGTTAACCTCTTTTTACTTTTAATAGATGTTTTGCACTGTGTACATTTTATTTGTTGTTGTAAAGCGGTGATAACTTTTGTGTAATAATATACATCGGTTACGTTTTTTTTTATTAATGGATCATGACTATATATATATATATATATATATAATTTTTTTTATATATTATTAGAATAGATGTATTTCATGATTAATTTCAAACGTCCGATGTATGATTGGAGTACATTTTTTTACGCTTACCATTGATTAATATATATATATATATATTGTGTTGTGTAGGAACAACTGCTACTATAGTGTGTTTTATCGTTATGTATATAAACTACAATTATACATAAAACTACAAAATGCTGGTTGTATATTATCTAAGTATAAAGATTGTAGAATATAGACGAATGTATAAAAACTTTTGTAGTACACCTTATTTGCTACTGTATTATAATAATTTTTAAACAATTTGATTTTTATGTTTTAAAAATAATAAAATCCATTTGAATTTCAATATAATTGTGTTTTTTTATTTAAATATTTAGGTAATAAGCTCTTGATTATTTTTCAATGGTAATTACGTGGTGTCAATTATGCGGCACATAATAAACATGCGCAATTTTAATGGTTTTATTTTTCTGGTCGAAAAACGCCAAATTTGAAAATTGGCTTGTCGCCTGTACTTGTATGGAGACATGTTCTACGGTCTATCATCAAACAAAATAAGCTTGTTGAAAGTTCTTTAAAAAAAAAATGTTAATATATTTTATAACCAGTTTATTTTTGAAAAATTATTTTGACATAAACAATTTTTCGACATCGACAAGTTACAAATTTCTACTCAAAATTTAACATAAAATTTAAAAAACCAACACAGTCATGTTTTTGTTGGATCGGTATCATCGTTATGTATTCGGTAAAAATCGTTGAACAACTAAATACTGTGTTAACTTAACATTCGGGATGGGTTATTTTTATTTTTCATTGATAAAAAAAAAAAAAAAGGTTGACTTTGCTAATGTTATGTGTATTTTAGCCATTTTCAAAGTCGTAAAATAAACGTTAAATAAAAACCATCGAATGTAAATGTTACAATAAAAAACGTTATGCCCTTCAATATGACCCTTAGGCTTACCCAATCCCGTTAAGCTACATGATGATGATGAAGAACTTATGCAATGCAATTAATTAATAACATTAATAGTGTTTATAACTAAAATGATCTTTGTATTGTAATTGACTAAAACCTAAAATGGTAAGAAAAGTACAGGGTTAGAAACTAGTCTGTGACTTGTCACTTTTAGTCACTTATTTGATAACTATCTTCACTTTTTTATTACAATTTTAAACAAGCGGAGTAATATTAAAAAATGTATTAAATAGTACAGAAATGACTTGGGTAGAATTTCCTAGAGAGTATACTATGTATAATATTATGTAATATAATAATTATTACTCAGAATATCGCAATTTAACGACCTGAATTAATTATATTTCCTTTATTACATAAGAAAACTAGAACATGTTAAAAATACATTTTAAACTAATAATAAAAATATAATATACATATTAAATATGTATATCTTAAGAGAAAAATATATGCCTGGTGGTTTACAAAGCTAAAGCAATAGATAAATTTTGAGCAACTTTTTTAAAATCAAAACATTCAAGTTTTTACGTTTCAAACACACATTTAAAATTAATACACACAAAACGTTGTCAATTATTATTATTGTTTGTTTTAATATAAATATATATGTAATATATATAAATATATATATGTATATATTATGCCTTTGAATCCTTTTGATTCTCGAGAACGTTGTGTAACCTCCAAGTTTTGACTACAAAATTAAAACATGTACAACGAACCAAAAAAAGTGGGTTTTCTTTTTAATTTTTAAAAATTCAAGTATTTTTGCAATTTTGCGAGAAAATATTATTATTATTTTATGCATACATAGTGCATTTTTTTTAACTTGATGAACGTCATGTAGGTATAGTAAACAAAATTAAATTGATCTAATTTTTTTATTGGAGAAAATGAAATGTTTTTACAACCATTTGTTATAGCTTTATAGAGCTATAAATTAAAACCTTCCTAATAGAGCTATAAATTAAAAAAAAAAATATTGCTCATTAAAAAAAACCCTAAAATATGTAAAGAGAGATAGGTATTTAGAAGAAAATAATATTGAAGTGTATTTCTCGTGTTTAATAATAGTCTTTAATAATTTTAACGGTTGTACAATAATGTCAAAACTTGCTAACTTTTTCTTGTAATGACCTTTTTTTAACTACAAAAAGTGGTGTGACATTCACTTAATGAAATATATTAAGCCACGTTTATTAAATTATAAATGTTTTATTTTAAATTCTAATTAACAATAAATATAATAATATTAAATAAGCCGTTGCGATATTTTTTTTCTTACATTTAACAAATAAATCCACGTCGATTACACATATGACTAACAACATATTTAAAAGTCAAACTGTTAAATAGGTACTTAAATAATAATGACAATCAGAAATGGTATTCAATAAATGCCCTTAGCAGTACGGTCGAAAGGGCAAAGTATCGATAAGGAAAAATGTTTTGTGTTTGTTTTTGTCCCTTCCCTGTTTAAATTATTTTGATACCGGATAATAATTGTTGTTTTAACAGAAAGCGGAATTTGTTTTTATTAAATATAGTTATTATATTATAGTTATAACCTTTTGTACACTACATTTGAGTTTACTGATTAGATATACCATAATGTAATAGAAATAAGAATACTACATTCTTTACCTTACTCTTATTTGAACTGTGAACACATTATTATTATAACATAGTTTATTTTTATTAATAATATTTATCATTTGCCCCCGTTTCAAACAGATGTTATGTGGATTATATTGTGCATTTAAACGGTTCAGTGAGTTTATATTAAAAAAAAACAGCACTTCAAAATCGTGTGACTTCGTATTCAAACAGTAGCGTTTATAATTCATTAACTTTTTAAATTTATAATAATCTACTGAAACTTTTGACTAGTTGAATATGATGATAATAAAAAAAACCTATGCAAATATTTTGAATAATATTATTTTCTACAAATAACGCGTTTTCGTTATAATATTATTTATGGAAAAATAATATTAGAAATCAAAAAATAGTAAAAAGTAAATAACAGGTAACAATATTACATTTTTTTTTTTTGGGGGGGGGGGTCTTAATATAATAAAATAATTTGTTATAGAGCCATATTAGATCTACCCTAAGTCTTCTTATAGTCAGACCCAAGTCTAAAAAACTATGCGTAACAATATGGTATAAAAAAAAAAATTAAAAATCATCATTACATTAAATATTATTCAGGTGTTAATTTTTCGACCAAGGCAAAGCTAGTAAAAAAAGGGTTTCCAATTTTGTTTTGGAACATAACGTATTATAAGTATTCCTAACAATTATTAGGCGTTTCATTAAAAATGACACAAACCTGCGAAATAATATTTTTTAGTTGTTTTATATTAGGACAATTGACTTTGTAGAATTATAAATAAATAAAATAGATAATAAGCTGAACTCAAATTTGAAATCAATTACTTTCTCTCACGTATAATTTTTTTTAATTTATACATATATAAATATTGACATTTAGAGTACATTATATATAAAATATTATTAAATTTCCGGACGTTGTTTTAGGACTCGAGGTCTGCAAAATAGATTAAAGTTAGATCTAGTAGTTGGTCGAGAGGATATTAAATTCCCAGGTTGCTATGTGTGAATGAATAAACTTTCTCAACAGGTATCTGATAAAAATATGTTTATTGAACTGTTGATTACGACAAACGGACAACAACGACAACGAATGAATTATTGGGACAATATGGGATTATTATAGACGACCTAATCGCATCCACCCTGATATAAATAAAAAATACAATTTTAAGCGCGTTATCGCCTTAATAATGGTTAATTTTATTTTTGTCGTCGGTACGCACAATTAAATTTGAATGCTCATGATAATGATAATGATGATGGTGGCGGTGGTACATAAGTATTGAGTGGTTACGACCGACTGTTGATCGACATTTTATCGCCGTGATTAAAACTGTATTTAGACACATACACTATAATATAGTATTCTATACGTATAAGATATACACACACTTACATTGTATACATATATATAAACATATAATGTTATTATCGCAAATGTATTTGATATTCTCATCTAAACCCAGCACAACATACGCAAGTAGTCCGTCATGATGCGTGCATGCAACAAGTGACGCAACAAGTATTCTTGTGTTAATCGGTAACCCATTTTTTTTTTAAGCAGTGACTCAAACTGTCGACCAGAGTATTGACCATCGCGTAGCATTGATCAATAATAATAATTAATTAAGTATTACTAATCGTGTTTTTTACCGTTTTTTTTTTGTCTATAGAATTTATCCGCTGTTGTGTGCTCTCGACGTTTATTGGTGTGTGATGGTCTAGCTTGGAAAAAATGAGTTCACAGAGATCCGGCAAAAACAACGTCGCATACCGTTCGTATTCGACCAAAACACATTCGACTAAAGGTATGCTAGTAAAATCGTATCAGTTACACTTACCAACGATCGGAAAGAGTTGTTTTTAAAATGACGTGTTTTTATTTATTTATTTGGTTTTTCGGTGTTCGATTTATTCGTCTATACATAGGTCAGAAATCGTACCCGGAGGGCACTTAATTGTTGAGCTGAAAATTTAAAACAATTTACCCTTCACCTCAAAGTCGAGAAAAACGCCCTTAAAAGAGGAGGTACACATGTTTTTTTACTTAAAAACAATGGCAAGCTATAACTTTTTTTAAAAATAGTCGGATTAGTTAAAAAAGGGTGTTCAAATATCTTTAGACAATGTACTTTTGATGATAAACGTCGACAAACCAAAAAAATATCAAAAACTCTATACCCTATAAGGGGTAGAAAGTTTTGTTTTGCTTTTTCGGGTAACGTTTTAGGGCATTGGGTTTTAAAATTAGACTGAAAGTAGATCTAGAACGAGTCTATATGAAATTTACGATTTTCTTAAACCTTTGTTTATTATGAAAGAACAGAGAAAAAAGGGAAATTTAACTTGGAACGTTATACATTTCTAGGTTGCTAATAAATCAACAGTCAACAGATTATATCTAAAAAATATTTTTATTATTTTGTTAATTACGATGTATAGGAAACAACTCTAACACATTTTTGCAGTCAGACGATCGACCCTAAACGTATTCACCCTAAAATTAAAAATTTAATTTTAGGCACATTACAATTATTATGCTTTTAAAGATATTTTGGAGTTCTATCATATCAAAATTAATAATCAAGTTGAAAATACTAATCTAAAGGGTAACATTATGGGGTGACTTTTATAAGTCAAATAGCAATTTATGTACAGGATTTACCTATTAAAAACAAGTTTTTTAGTAAATACTTTTCGAGTTGTTAAAACAACTGGGTTTTTTTTTTTAGTAAAGGTCGTTTTTTTTAAATAAGTAAAACATGTTAATGTCATTTTTAACAATATTTAGATGATTTTATTTTTCTAATGACATTATGCGTTTTTTTTTTTTTTGGACAACTTTCGACCTTTTTTTTCTGAGTAATTTTAAATGTGTATTTGTTTTAAGAAATTTCGCCCAAAAGATAACATTACGCCCAAAAACACATGCCAAAAGAAGGAAAATCAATAAGACCGTATAAATGGCTATATTTTACCTGTGTCGAAAACATGTCGAAACAATTTACTGTATGGACGTCACTGTTACTTGTATAAATTAGAAAAACAAAGAAAATATCGTTACTTTGCCCTCTAAATACGTCATACAACTATATTCTTTGGATTTAAAAAAAACAATTTTTTTTCATTCATTTACCATGTTTTTTTTATGTTTTAAACACTTGATATTTAATTTCAATTGTTTTAAACATGATAAAAAAAACAATTGTTTTAAAAAAAAATGCTTAGAAATGCGAAACCCAATTTCAAATAATATATTTTTTTATAAATCTTGATGGAAATGAGAATTACTATTTACGAATTTTGATGATATTTTAAATTTATATAGTTTTTAAACGATATATTTTACCTATATTTTAATGTATTTTAAAATTGCCAAGACTTAAATAAAGAAAGTAAAACAAAAAAATTATAATAAGAATAATAGTGATTATGATATTGATGATAGTAGTAATAATAATATTATTATTGTTATTATAGAACAAAAGTATTCCGAATAATGTTAAAATTTTTATTTTATTGTAATATTTGCTTATGAGTTGAATAAGTCTGTTGTTATTGTATTTTTAATTAATGCACTTTTTCTTAAAATCTGATAAAACTAATTAGCTGATTTTTCTTTTAGATTTAAAAAACGATTACAGTTTTGTGTAATTTCGGTTTGTTTGGTGAAATGATATGTGACCTTGGGATTTCGTTCATCTTTTCTTTAATATTTCTTTTAAGGTCTTCCTATGTTGCTAAATTGAGCCATTCATGTACACAACGAGTAATTAAAAGCTGAAACGAAATTCCAAGTATTTTTTCAGACCGTTTTCCACGATTAAAATAAATAATAAAGTCACATTGTTTGTTTTATAGTTTAGAATGCACACATACTTTCGGATGACGACACACTCTATAAAAGGAATTCCTCATTCCGCACAACTAAGTCTTACTAACGAGTTGTTCAGTCAATATAACGATCGTTTTAATAATATTTTACTGGTATTGAATATAGTAAATTAATTATTAATTTAAATGTCGGCGAAAAGGTTATCGCCAATTTCGGGCCCGAACGAGTAACATTGTTTCTTATCTGTCTCAAACAACGTTGTAGTAGAAAAAAAAGGCCAGTACAGTGAATTCGGGGAATAATGAAGATGGAGTATATTGGGCCGGATGAGGGCACAGGTCTACAGGAATTATGATAACTTTAAGTGTTTACAATCACTTTCAAACAAACGCTTCGATGCGAATCTGTAGACGGTAGAATACAAAAATCGATAAAAGCTACAATTTGCTTAGTTATTTCTTGAGTATTAGGGCGGATACGATTAGAGTTGATCGATTGTCTATAATATTTTTTTCTTTACTGCTGTCGTGTCACCATAAATCGTAATAAACAATAATATATTAAAAATATTTTCAAATCTTCTCTTAGGGTCAAGTTGAGTTAGATTAGGTTAGGTAGTTGCAATTGTTACCTATAGGCAATATTGAAATCAACAACATAATGAAAATACTTATCGGATACCTGTTGACTATTGATTCACGGTTCAAAGAGAAATTTCCCCCTTTTTTTGAGGGTTTTCTTTTTTAAAAAAAAAGTTTGACTACAGATTTTTAAGAAAAACGTTATTCTTGTGGCCTCGCGTTAAATCTACTTTCAGTTTAATTTTCAGACCCTAAGCCCTAAAATGTTGAACTGAAAAAATGAAACAAAAAAAAATGTCCACTCCTAGGGAAAAGGTTTTATGATATGTTTTTGGTTTGTCAACGTATATCAAAAGTATTTTGTCACGCAAATTTTAAACTAATCCGACCATTTATCAATCCGTTATAGCTTGCCATTGCCGTTAGATTTTAAAGGTGGATGGGTATTATTATTTTTTAATTATTAGCCCTACTATTAAATGCGCTTCGGGTACGATTTCTGACCTATGGAGTCAGAGGTGGTCCAGACACGGTCGCTAGCCTGCTTGATCACTTCGTTGCCGAGAACAGGACATTATACGATTTTACAGCTCTATATAATTATTTTTTTATTTGGTTAAGAAACGTGTTCTAGCAGGTAATAGATGTCTACATTCACTATCTAAGTGCCTGCGCTCAAAGCTACTATCAAAGAAATCGAAAATGAGACTATACAAAGTAATAGCAAGACCTATCATAACGTATGCATGTGAGACATGGCCAACAACGTTAGAGGATGAGAGAAAATTGGCTATAGTAGAAAGAAAGTTTCTAAGGAAGATATGTGGACCTAAAATAAATAATGTAACACAAAGGTATGAAATAAGGTCAAACGAAGAAGTGTACAATGCCTTTGGAGAACCAAATATAATTGGAGTAATTAGAGCCAAAAGACTAAGCTGGCTAGGTCACATACTAAGGTCTAACATGATTGCAAAGGAGGTCCTAAGTTGGAGGCCACGAGGAAAGAGGCCCTCAGGCAGACCTAAACAACGATGGTTTGATAAAGTCTCAAAGGATCTAACAACGCTAGGAGTGGAAATCTACAGGCAGGTAGCAATGGATAGAGAGAAGTGGAAGGAAGTGTGTGTTGAAGTAATGGGCCTGAACGGCCTCTGAAGCTGAAGAAAAAAAAATATATAGTTAATTTTACTCTATGATCCAGCCCAAAAACATACCCACGTGTCAAAATAAAAATACTAACACGTCATTGTAAAACAAAAACAATACCTTCTTAGCTGTGCGTCGAAGCTTAAATTGTTTTTTTAATTTTTAATGTTTTTTTTCCCAGTGCTAAGCGGTGACTACAGCGGAAGCGAAAGCGAATCCTACGACGACACTCATGACGGCGGCGGTCGTAGGTCGGCTGTCAGACAGGAGCCGCAGGGACAAGAGACCCACAAAGACTACACCGTGTCGACACCACCGTCGGCCTACGACACGTTGATCATACACCACGACGAGGGTGGCCGTTACGGTTCGGCCATACCCAAGTATCGTTACGGTGGCGGCGGCGGCGGCGGTAACAGGGACGAGACGAGAAGCCAGGGGCAAAAAAACGGGACACGACAGAACAACGATGTCGGCGTCAGGGAAATCACCAACATACCGGACGATTACCTGAGTCAATCGCACGTAAGTCTTATATGCTCGCCAAACCGTTTACAACTCGGGGGGTCGCTTTTCTCACTTTTTTTAAGATAAGATTTCTTTTGAAAATGTCTGCGACGCGGTTTTTTGACACAAGTTTTAAAATGTAAAATGTCCCTACTATTTTTCAAACGTGTCCCGGCTATAGTAAACATTCAAATGACCAACCATAAACAAAAAAAACTAATCAGAAATTGTTTTAAGATAGATTTAGATAAACACGGCTAAATTGTATAAATCTCGGGCCATTCCCGTTATTGGACGAAAAGATATGATTTGAGTCTCTGATTTTATGATAAAAATGTCGGAATTTTAAAACTGGCCGATTTCGTGAAAAATAACTTAATAAACCCCTGTTTTAGAGGTAAATATGAGTGATAAAAATTTCAAAAAAATAAAGATTTATATTTAGAAGTTAAAAAATTTTTCGAAAAATGTTGAGGAGGTCGGGCTGATGCTCCACAATGTGTACAATATATTTCCTCCACTGCTTTATGATCAGCTTACTGGCGACTAAGACTGCAAACGCTGTTGTGTATGAATCGCTTAGTTCAGTATGAGACATGTAAAAAAAAAGTAATTTTAAAGGATACATAAAAAAACCGTTTAAAAAAGAATTCCTATAATACCGCCTAGCATTTTGTAAAATGCGTACGAGTTCTCTTTAATAACTTTCTACAAAAGAATGGTTTGGTCGCATTCAATTTTTTTTCTGTTTCGACAGTGGCCTTTTGTGCGTTTTATGGATACGAGTTTCTCTTTTGAACTCGACTAAAATTTTCAGCAATGATAGATAGGGTATAGGATAAATACTGGTTCATTTACCATTAAAATGTTTAATGATCAATATATCTTCACACTGACCGTATGCGACTGCAGAACATGTAGACCACTGTTTGTTTTAACACTATACAACACATGCCTTTGAGGTGTTGGGAAGAAAAAAATTGGACACGTCTCGTCTCTGAACTCGGATGAAAATCATGTTTTTTTCAATTTACAGGTTTTAAAGCATCTTGCCAAAGAGGTCAAAGTGGACCCCCCCAACAAACAACACGACACTAATTTGTCGAGGTGGCACGACGCTGACAAGAACAAATGGTTACCCGATTACCACAGGCAAACGCCGATTAGGAATCTGGTCAAATCAAAATCTCAACCAGATTTGGGTATGGGCTCGATGAAAATCGAACGTTTGGAAACCGATCCCATGCGACATACCCTCGGCAACAATAGGTTTGTGGACATTTTTAATTTTGTAGCCGGTTTTTTTAATATATATGTATATATATAAAAATAATCTTCATTGTTACCCTCCTGTTATCCGCCTGGTAGAGCGTAGTAAATGTTTTAATACTTTCGGTTCCAGAAAAGATCAGAAAATGTTGTCCATAGTCGACTGTCTGATGATGGAAAACAAGAGTCTGAAAATAGAACTGGAATCGTGCCATCAAAAAGTTGCCAAATCGTACAGAGTGAGCTTCATTCATTTACTTTTGTATACAGGGTGATTCGTCGACAAAGAAGAGACCACACTCGTCGTTTATTCTTAAAAACAAATGTTGTGATTTTTCTTTTTGGAAACACTTAGTTTTTATGTTGTTTTACACAATGTTAGACGATACTAAACGTTTTTTCCTTTTTCCAAAGTTCTATCAACTTGTAAGACTTAAATGGTAACGTATGTGTTTAAATAGCTTTTTAAATGGACATACAATTTGCCACAAATTTTTACTGTTTCGAAAACCAGCTTTGGATAATTAGGTGAAGTGCGATGCAGTTATGTGCTCAGGTAAAAATAACACTTAATAATCAACCTAAATTTTCAACTTTAATAACTCAAAAAGTAATTATCCAAAACTTATTATCGACCGCATATAATCTTTAGCAAATTATTCTTAATTTAAACAGTTATTTAAATATGTATATATATATATACCTTACCATTTAATTTTCAAAAGTTGTCAGAGCTATGGAATATACTAAAAAAAGGTAAATACTTAGTGATTTTATAATACTGTAAAATAACATAAACAAAATTGTTACAAAAAAAAAAACTATACAAAATTATGATTATTTTATTCAAAAATTAGTATCTTGTCCATAATGAATCACTCTGTATACACACACATGTGTATGTATTTTTATTTACTTGTTCACTCTGCGACAACATTGTGGACGTCAATGAGTTCTTAATATGTTTTCCCCGACTCTTCTTGGGATCCATCATAATTTCACTCGACAATCAAATAAATTTGTTTTTGTTACATTTCCAATGTTCGGTTCTATAAAAATAAATATGAAAAATATGTAACTGTGCAATCGATAAGAAAGTTAAAAAAAGAATAAAAACTACATCTTATATAATTCATTTCCTTGTTTGAACGACAGTTATGATATTTGAGCCATATCATGTGAAATCCACACATAATTTTCTTAACAGGAATCTGGACATCATTTAAATAAATTTAAAGTTCAAATAACAAACAAAAAAGTAAATTACAATTAGTTTAAGTACAATTTTTAATTCTTTACTCAAATAATTTTGTATTTAACTAGATACAAATTGAGAAAATGGACAATGATAATGTATAAATTTATACATTTAAATACTATATCAAATCAATATTAATTTTAAAAATTATTTAAAATAATTTTTTTTTTATTAGACAAAAATAAAAATGTATTATAATTTATAATCAATACTTATTATATGCAATTTCAAAAAAACGGATGACATAATTTGTTAAAGTTGGAGCAAGAAGTATCAAAAGTTTATCGTTCACACCAAGAGATGGTGGAATCGAGCGAAAGGAGAGAAAGACTTGAGCATACCGCCAGGTTAAAACTCCAAGCCGAAGTCAGGCGTCTACAAGAAGCAAATCGTTCACTACGCGATCAATTGTTGTCTTCCAACATGGTCGATCCTAATCAAATGGTTAAACGCGAAACGATGATCGCTCAACTGATAACACAAAGTATAAAAAAAAATATTAAAAGTAAACATATATTAGAGTAATGTTTTTTTGTTTGTTTCTTATAGACAAAGAATTATTGGCCGCCAAAGATAGACAAGAGATTGAATTGGCCGCCCAACGCGCCACCCTCGAAGAACAGCGAACCCATATAGACATATTGGATACGGCTTTGACAAACGCCCAATCCAATGTTGTTCGTCTCGAAGAAGAATGCCGTAAGAAACAAATGCACGTGGAAAGAGTGGCTCAACTCCAAAGGGCGTTGTCGTCTCTTCAGTTGGCCAGCGATCGCCGCGAACAGACTGAACGTAAGCTACGCCTTCAACTAGAGCGGGAGCTGCGCAACGAACGAGCACGGAACAACAACACTTCCCAAGACGGCTCAACAGGTAATATAATTTGACTTTATACTTTAATAAATAGGTATTATGATTTCATTTTTTTTTTTTTTTGTATTAATATAGACAATGAGCCCGGTGAAAGTTTACCCGAATTAAAACGTATGTTGCGTGAAAAAGATGAGAAAATAATGCGTCTAGAGGGCGAAGTAGCCAAGTGGGAACAGCGGTACTTGGAAGAAAGCGAATTGCGACAAGCAGCGATAGATGCTGCGAGTATACCGAAGTGAGTTAATGTTATTATTGTATGTTAACGGATAATTATTTTAATTCAAATATTTTAGGGATGCAAAAATAGCGGCCTTAGAGAAAACTGGACAAGAAAGTGAAAAACTCATCGCCGAAGCGCGTTCCGATAGATTAAAACAGATGGAAGAAGTACACGCCGCACAAAAGAAAGTCAGCGAATTGGAGTCACGGTAAAACATTTTTATTTTAATAGTCGAACATTTAATTTAAAATGTTTTGTTTAATATCAATTTAAATATCAGAATGAAAGAGTTGGAATCAAGATTGGCCGAACGGGACGCAATGATAAGAGTTTTACAAAAGAAACATACTTTCGAGAAAGACGTATCCGGATCCTATCCAAGTATATGCCTTGGGCATCACACTCCCCATTCGAGTCTCAACACCACGGACTTGACATCCGACGATCTTGGTAAGTCGACTTGTGAAGTAAAAAACATTTGTATGGTGTTTGGTGCAGTGACGAATCTTCATTTAATTGTGTTGACATTGAACAATTTCAAATTTGAACCAGAACTTAAATCAAACTAAAAATAAATGTAACTGTTTTAACAATATATTATAAATGTTGAAAAATGTTGTGGAAATAGTTTTAAAATATTGTGTTATTTATATTTGATGACCAGTTAAATATGATAAAAAGTAATTCAAAAAATATATTGCAACAATAACTATAAAACATTATAATTCTAGAATATGCTTTAGCCTTTTTGTTCAGTGACAAATTTTGATAACTAAATATTATTCGTAACAAAACAAACATAATTCTGCATGAAAAAATGTGGGGGGCTGTATTCTACTTTTGTCTTTTGACAGTTGGCAATTATAATAGTTTTTGGAAAATACCAAAAGTGTTGACTCAATTTTTTTGCTCAGGTTTTGGCTCGAATAATTCTTACACGAGCAGCGTGGACAGTTCTTACCATCATCATCACGGTAACAAGTACTCATCTGCAAATCAAAGTTTCGATCACAAATCGCTAGATGACCAACTGAAAGAATTAGACTCGCAGCTCTTAAACAAGGTAAACAGCACTGTTGTGGAATCGTCTTACACAGATTCAGTTTCTGATGTCGTGTATTTGTTTTGATTGTACGACTTTTATTTTAATATAACTGTTTTTTTTCGGATTGTATCAATCAAACTGTTTGTTTAATTTTGTGCTTGTCATATTATATATCAAACTATCATATATATACACATATATATATATATAATATAATGTTGGCAGTAGTGTGTGCGTATGTGTTTATATTACGAAACAACTAACACGTTCACCCTTACTAGATGAAAGCTTATTGTTAATTTTTTAATTGAAATGTGAAAAACAATGTGGTGGCGCAACTATGTTTAATATTCTATAGTTATATATTATGGAATCTAAATAATATTACTTACGAGCTACACCAACTCTGGCCTTTTTTTTTTAGTAAATACTTAATAAATTTTTTTAATTTTCATTTCGTACTGTATCAGAGATACAAATAATTTTACTTGTCACGATGTTCGTTTTAATGTGTATTTTCCTTAAAATATGTCACTTTTTTTTAGATTTGTTAAATTTTGTTTATCGTGAAGCTTATAACGATTTTTATTTTCTCATATTACTCAAAAGTTTTAAAAAAAAAACTAAAAATGATGAAGCAAATATAATATTCAATTTTTGTATACATTTGGATTACTTTTAAAATATGGCAAGTGGTCAAAATATGTCAACAAAAAATTGGAAAAAAATGTATCATTATGAAAAACAAATTAATTTTTAAAATTAAAAAGACAAGTAGAATTCATGTTTTTATTAAATATTTAAAAAAATTAACGAAATTTCACATCAAATCCAACATTTTGGCATCCATTTTTTTGGCCCAAATTTGCTTATAACTTTAGTGCTCCCCTGAGTCTAGTTGCACCACCGATGAGAATGAGAAAGACCAAGAGATATTTAAATTTTAATTGAATATTCTGAATAATGTTTAAAATTCTTCAAGAATTATTATAACAGTGATGAAATCAATTTGAAATTAACGCTTCGATGTGAAACTGTAGCAACGGTAAAATCTATAAAATATTTTAATATTTTAATTGTGAATATAAAATAGTGTTGTTTTATTTTTTCTCGATAACAAAGTGAAAACAGATTATTAAAATGGTAGCATATGTATTTTATTAAGTTTTAATGTTGAGAAAAATCTATTATCATTATGACAATATAAACATTAAAAAAAAAAACAACTATTATTTTTAAAAATTAACGTTTCTTACATTAAATTGATAATTTATACAAGAAAAAAAAATGTCGTCTATGTATTAATTAGTCTATAGACTAGATCTCTACAAAAATAAAAACAAATCATCGTAATGCCAAAACCTACTTTCTTCTCAGCTCCACATCGAAGTTAAAAAAAAAACAATTTTAACCTTTTCAAAATTGGAATATTAATAAAATTGTAATTGTTTTTTATCGAATGAAATTAATCAGGCATGGAGTTTTTTTTTTTTACAAAGTTTGGTTTGAGACTAATCAAAGAGACATATGAGAACGGTCGTTTATAGGATATCTGGACGGGGGACGTGTTTGTTTTTGTTTTCAGAGAGGTCTTTGCTGTTTTCCAGGCTTCTCTCATACGGGCTCTTTGTCACGAAAAGCAAAAACACCCCAACCACTACTGGAGAGTGTAACCGGTAATTTCCTCGGCCACCGGGCTGACGACATCATGCTGTTGGAGAAACAGGGTTTGTGTTCCCAGGCGCAACGGCAGACACAGGAAATCCGTTGCGGTAGTTTGCCGCCCAGCTCCCTACCCAGGCCCAAGCGTCACAGAAAGTCCAGTAGCAAAGTCAGCGAGTATGGCAGGCTCAGCGACAGTGACGTCAAGTCGTCGAACCAGGTGAAAAAATTGAGCAATTACAGTCACTACACCGACAGCCGTAAGAACTCGCTAAACTCTCTGGACACATCTAGCGACGCCAGTACGGCCCCTAACACTCCGATCGAATGCCCTCCGTCTGTCAAGTTTGAACCTCTGGAACGTTCGCCTCGACAGTCGCCTTTGCCGCCCGACGGCCGTTATCGAAGATCTAGCCGGGAATCCGATGACGTGGTGACGTCCAGAGAATCGTCGTGCACCGTGCCGAGAGAGTCTCCGTCGCGCAACAGCGTCAACAGAGAATCGAGATCCAGCATTACCAGGGAATCGCCCCCGAGAGCGACGATGGTAGGGCCCAGGGATTCGCCGGGCAAGAGTATTCTGGACCCGCCCAGAGTGATGGCTAGAGAGTCGCCGGGACGTTCGTTCTACAAAGAAACGCAAAGGAGTTTCCTGCCGCCGCCTAGGAAAATAGATTATGCGAATTTAGGCGCGCCGGACGCTAACAAGATGACCAATGTGGAGTCCAAATTGAGGATATTTTCTCCGGGAGGGATGCAAGGGAGGAGAGGATCGTTACAAAGGGACGGACTGTACAAGGGAGAGTCGAACAACAAGAACGGCGTCCGGTCACTACCGACTCCGAACAAATATAGAATTCAATTTTAAGCTGTAGTTGATTTTATTTTATTACTTACTCGCATTGTACAAGGTCGGGCCTAATACTAGTCACTTAATATATGTTAATAATAATAATGTAGTCATAAACGATATTTATTGTACACGTCTTGTCAGCCAAATAGTTGCAGTCTTTTGGCGTTACACGTATAACGTTGATTAAAACGATCTGCAGTTGTTATTGTACTCCATTTTTGAAACGGAATTTTTGTTGTTTAATAATAATATATCTAGAACAAACTGTTAAAATTTTCACTTTTATTTAACAACAACAATACTAGGTAAAATGGTAATACTGCAAATTAATGCTCAACATATTTATTATTTATCTACTGTTACAAATGTTTTGTTTATTACACAATTAATGTAATGTTCGACTAAAATGTGAAATGTAGTCTCGCTTAATGTTAAAATACTAAATAAAATACATTGTTGATAACGTTGTTGTTAGTATGTTTTTAATTTAAGCGGGGTCGGATACTGTGTGTATTCAAAAATACAATGTAAATAGTACAAAAGTGATTATAAATCGATGTAAAGTATTATATTGGCTTAGAGTTGGAAGTACTCGTAAATTTCAATGTCGATTCGATAGTTTTTGAGAAAATGTTGCGTTAGAAAATATCATATTTTAAATTTTATTTCTTACACGCTCATTGTAAATCGTTAGCTTTTTCATCATTATGAATTTATCTTACATCTACGTCTATTGATTGTATGCGTTTATGTTATTATTTTAGGTAAACCTCAAGTACCGCTTTGACCAGAGTGTGATGGTTTTTTTAAATTTAGTTATATTTGCTCATGTTTATTCATTTTGACACGCAACTTGAATAATATTGTGCACAATTTACGTTATAGTAGGCGATTTGTCGAAATCGGTCAGGTTAGACTAATTCCTCACCTCTCAATTTGGTGAAACATTTAATGTACGTTTTTTTTGGTACCTGCGTTCACAACAGCTTGAACCGTTGCATGACCAAGTACAATAATTATTGGGTAAGTACAAGTTAATTTAGGCCACGTTGATCGTCGTAGTATGTAGTTGTTGTACAGAAACGTTAACAAATAGGTAAATGATAATAATTCGAGTGAACAGGGACAATTATTATTATTAAAGTAAGAATGAAGTGAGGAAATTAAACTTTAAAAAAGTTTAATAATCTGGTGATTACACGTGAAGTAAAAAAAAATCATTTTCACTAGAGTATTCGCACAATTTTGGTTCTTCAAATTCGTTTTATGTATATATTACCCATAATTTGATTCTTAATGCAAAATTGGCGAGTGTTACGGTAAAACTATCTTCATATTTTCAGTTGTAACTTTGAAACATCATAAATAGATCAGCTTGTCAAAATAAAAACTTTAATTTTTTTGATTTACATAATATATATTTACACACTTACGAAAAACGATCAAATTATTGTAATCCTAATTATATTTTTAAAGAAAATTAGAATAATTTACTTCCTGTAAATAATACACTATTTAGTGTATTATTTATTAATACACTAAAAACGTATACATTATATTTGGTTTGTTTAGTATTAATGTATTTATTTCCATTTGTTCTTATATCGTTGATGTATTCTATTCTACGTTTCTACTCATCAATAACATAACACTAAAAATGTATTTATTATTTATAAAATGTTAAACGCCTTGTAAATCTTTTATGACGCGTAATTAAATTAAAAACGAATTCTTAAATTAGAAAATTAAGTAGAATTTATTTTAGGGCATGAAAAAGTCGTAAACAAGTATGAAAAATAAGCCTTGGACAAAATACATTTTAAGTAAATACAAATAAAAAAAGATCAAAATATTATGGCCATTTGTCGTTGCTTTCTTAAATAAAATAACGAGAATAATCTCATCGGAATTCACGTCACATTAGGAGAAAAATGTTTTCATTTTGCGTTTTCGATATTCTTTTTTTTTGCGAATAACTTATTTAATTCTGTTTAATAATGTTCGAATTTTGTTTACGCATAAAGCAGCTGCAATGCTCGTCGTTATTGATGTTTAGGTAGAAAAGTAAATCAATGGGTTCTCAACCCACACACACTTCCCCTTCGTCGTCAAACCACTAATACCCTTCCTTTAGTACTTATACATCAACCAACTGATACTCTTTTTCATTATTATGTATTTAAACAGATAGAGTTAGGTACTTAATTGTAGAAAAATAGAAAATATTTAATAGTACAATTAAAAAATATAAAAAATTACAAACAATTTTTAATTACTACAAAAACTTTATTTATTATATGTCATATCTTTGTCATTTGCCTATAATATATCATTAAATTATACACTTACCGAACAATTATTGTCCTGTACATTAGATGTAGGTAGTAATTTGGTTTTTAAATTATTCAGAATGCACTTGTGTGACGGTACGAGTTTACATTGTCGGCTGTATTCGTCGTTTAATGGTAATATTCAATGCTTAATAGTTTTGTGCTGTTATAATAATATGTTAGCAGAATTTTTGAATAACTAACCAGAGACAACCGAATATGGAAAATAAATAAATAAAGAGAGTAAAAAAAAAAGATAATTGATAGGGTTAGTGTCTAATAATAGTGCACCAATAACAGTACACTGCACACATTATATTTTAGACTTGAACACAAACGAAAAACTTTTGTTCTTAGACGCCACAACCGAATAAGGGAAATACATTTTAAAAAAGGAAGAAAAATAGATAATTGATAGGATCAGTACTTAGTAGTAAAATACACCATAATGAAATAAACACAAGTGCTGTACCACATATTATACTTAAGCTAATGGGAAAAATGTTTTGTCCTTACTCGCTTCGGTTTTTTTTTATACAAATTTATATTATAATATTCATTTTATGAAAAATGGTCACTTTGAATATTGAAATTTTATGGAAAAAAATTGTCAAAATTTTTTTAATCATCCCTTTTTCTCTATTACTTTAAAAGCCAAAATATAAAAACGGTTCTACTGCCAGATAACGCCTTAATTTAATGTATATTTAGGATAAAATGTTGTAGACAAAAAGAAAAATTTAAGTAAGGCTTTTATAGACTTAGAAAAATTGTATGTATGAGGGTGCCAAGACAAGAATATTTCCTGGAGAGCATTTTGAAAATGTATAGTGCAAGTATTAGTAGTATAAGATGTAATACTTATAGTTTAATTATTGTTAAATAATATCTTACACATTAATAGTTAATAATAAATTGATATATTAACATACTATGATTGTTTACTGTTATACTCTTCATTGTACATCATGAGGGTAGCTTAAGTCACAATATGTTTTAATTTATTTTTTTTCAAGCTGCATAATATATTATGCAGTTTACAAAAAAAAAGTGGTTTCATTAAACTAATTAACGCAGATATCGGCTTACAATAATAATTTATGTAGATTGAAGTCACTCGTGTGGTGATTTGTTTATGTGCGAACAACATATTATTTTGACCTCATCGAATTTATAATAAAATCGACAGGACGGTGGATATTGTGTGATTAAAACGGTTTATTATAATTTGAGCGTTTAATAATTATTTTATGTTCGTCGAAATAACATGCTGCGTGCATTAACATATTCATTTATTTGCGATCGAAGGATTAATAATAATAATTATTATTAAACCTAGTGTTTATTTCAATATAGAATCTACAGCGTGGTGCGTTGTACGATGAAGTAAAAGGGTTCGCTTTTGATATAATATTAATCGTTTATTAATGAGAGAAGGAGCCATCTAGTATAAAAAGTCAAACAATTGACAATTTTAGAAAATCTTGCCCGCAACAATTGTGTTTTTCTCGACTTTCAAATAGATAAAACCTTATTTGAAGCAAAAAACAAAGTTTACAAAAATATAAACACCGTGAAGTCAATACTAAAACCACGTGACTACTTATAATTGTCTGTACAATTATATAAGTTATCTAATATCAAAGTTAAACCTATAGTTTCAGTATTGTTTGACTATATGCATAAATTTCAAGTTGTTGCAAACGGCCATACCTATAGTTGTAGCAATACAATTAGCGTGTAACCACTTCATACAACTGTTACTTAGCCTCTTTCGATATGTGGAAAATGTAATGTTGTAAGTTTTATAGTTTCCTTTGACAAATTATCGCATTCCGTAATATAATAAATACTATTTTTATTCAACTTGAAAAACGCTATAAATCCATTTACACCTAAACGGATTCGTGTTTGTTTTGTTTAGGTCGTTTTCAAGCTTTTTAATAGATAATAGTACACGCATTAATAAAACAATGTGTTAACGACATGTACGAGTATTAGTAATTATTCGCTGATGTTTTTCTCGTGTCTGAATTGATAAATAATTGTACCCCAGCAGTTAATGTGTATACAATTCTATTCTGAAGCGTTAACGCTTAACTGGATATTTATAATTGAAAATATATTTGAAGTAATCAAAACACTACACATTTAAAAATAAACACTAACATGCTCGAAAACAATAATTATAACTCATAAAAAATTAATAATCATAACAGTAGCTATACTTTGCCAAAGCGGGTTTGGGTATTGAACGAATTTAATATGTGGCGTATACGCGCTTTTATCAGGTCGCATTGTTCCATTGTAACGAACAACACTCATAATTTATTTAAATAATATTGTAAACAAACGGGGCAGCAGATGTAAGTACAAACATTTTTTAACCAAAGTGATTGTGTTGGTTTAATTTTTTTATTATTAAATCTGGCTAGGAACGAGTAGAAGCAATTTTACGTTTGATCAATGAGCTTTAAAGTTTTCAATTTGTACACGTCTCTGCGTTCGTTTTTGTTTACAAAACTCTACGTTGCGTTTTAAATTTTGATTGACAAAAAGTGTCATTGGCCTTTCTCGACCCAAGTCACATGTATGGTATAATAATTATTATTATTAAGTGTTACGATGCCGTGTTGACGTGGGTGGATTTTCTGACAGGTAGTTTTAATGTAAATTAAGAGCCTAGAGTTTCCACGAGAAAGACATACTCCGCTCCTCTTCTATACCTAGTTTAGGTGGTCCAAAACAAGGCTTATTCAGTCGAAAAATAATTAGCAAATTTGTTGTACGATCCAAATAATGTATATTAAATAAATTATACACAAACAACCTTTTATATTGTAATGGCATTGTGTTTATGGAGATGTTTTGATTGGAAACAACTAGAACCTCTCCAGTGACACTCTGTGGGCTGTAGGTTTGTAGTATTATTCCGATTAAACTATTAGTATATAGTATATACTGTGTATTGTTCACAATTAATACAACCGTATAATAAAATATTATTATTTTCCAAACTTAATTTGACTACATTTGAATATTTTTTTTACATAAAACTGATTTTAAACAGTATTCAGTGTGATTTATATAT